CTTTTAAAAAAGAAGTTTACATCCTATTCTTATGCATGCCAGTGCTGTGTGTGAAGTAATTTAAGGTGGTTCTGACAAGTGTCGTCGGCATCTTCATAACCGGTCACATGGGCAGCAAGCCACTCCCATCCAGTCACATGGGCGGCAAGCCACTCCCACAAAGGAGGCCACACCCACAGAGTAGGTTCGAACAATTTTTGAAACCCACCCACTGCTTTCAGACTATGTTGGGGGGTCTCTATTAGATGCTCTATATTGCAACTTTACATCCAGGTGACATTTCTGAGATTTCTTTAAAAAGATACTTGGTCTTTTACAAAATATGGATTCTTTTTTTTTTTAAAGTAAACCGCGACTGGAGATCTTGTAGCAGGAACTCAAAATCTAGTGATGTAAGCAGGAAGTAGTGCTATAGCCACTGAAAAAAAAGACATGCGGCATTGCTTACTTAAAGCCCCATCCTGTCCCCCCAAGGACAATAGCTGCTACCAGGATGGCACCAGCGATGGAGCCTATTATAAGATTTGTGGCACTAGGACCTGTGACAAAGGATGATGGGAAGAAAGAGATCAGAACCAACCACTTAATTCATTCACATCCAGGGAAATGTAGTAAAACAATTTAAAACAAATGAGCTATTTAAGTTATATGAAAGAAACATTTTCGAATGGGCCAAAGTTATTTAAAAACTACATGAAGACTTTAAAAAAAAAAAAGATAGATGAATTATCTATCATGCTCCCATATACAAACTAACACTTCCCTAGAATACTTCGTACTAATGAAACTTTGGACTTCAGTTTAAACTTACCTAAACATTATTATAAAGCCACAGATACCTTACAATTTTGCAGTATTCAAACATTTTTAAGTAAAAAAAAGTCAGAAAGTATGTTTCTTTGATGGACAACTAACTTTTTGAATTATTGGATGAGGTTTGGAAGAATTTTGAAGAGCGAAAAAAGAAAAAAAAATCAGCATCAGGAGAAACAGGGAAAAATTACAAAGACAACTAAAAATAACAAAAAACAAGAATAGCTAAATTGGTCCATGAAAATAAGTGCAAAACCTGGAAATCCAATCGCCTATCAAGTGATAAGTCCTGGATCTATTCTTTCACATTTTATTTACATTTCATGTACACTGAAAAATACTTTTGTTTAGTAACTTAAGTAAATGTCTCCTCTGGCACTGTAAATCATTGTATACTTGAGTATTTCCATCAAAGCTGACCCTTAAAACAACAAACACCATCACTATTTTACTTCTCAAATGCAATCACAACAAAATGATACATATCTGATTTAATCTTTTGTCTTAGATTCACAGTATAATCTTTTAAAAAGCAAGACAACGATCAGAGATGATTTTGAACAAGTGCTACCGCTGTTTTTTAAAAAAACCCATAGTTAAAACTAATCTAGACATTTAAAAACAGCTTGTTTTTAAACTTTAAAAAGCAGGATGTTGTGCAAGTGCTATTGGAAATTGTGATTATTTATACAGGAAGCAATTATTTGTTTTATCTCAGTCTTAATACCTACAAGCATGCCTGTCTTTTTTTATTTGCTCCCCTGCGAGATAGCTAGTTTTGTTATGTGTAAATAACAGAAAGGATGGTGTGCCTGAAAATAGCTTCTCCTGCTATTAAAACGAAGAGCACTTTGTATTTACAATATGGGGAATTCTCCATGTTCCTTCCTGGCAAGGAATTTCTTATGCCTGGTGTGATTCTTGGCTTGAAGGTCATCTTTAAACCATCTACCCATAGAAGAGCTTCACCTGAGTCAACCTTGTAGCACGAGGATGGATATCTAATAATGAATTCAAGATATACATTTGCAAACATCTTTTCTTATGAAAATGGTGGCATACAAATATAGAAGATTGCTTTTGGCAATTTAGAGAATAAGAGATTGTTTGTTAATCCAAACTGGATTCCCTTAGTGCAGCAAGTTAATTCCCTTTGACAATCAGGGATTTAATCTGCCCGGTGACTACTAGGTTAAAACATTCTCTTCTATTAGATTCTGACTAATGCAATATAGAAAAATCAATTCCTCTAATGAGGGACATCCTACTTTTCTTTCCTTTATAATGAGCTGAGGTGGCGCAGTGGTTAAATGCAGCACTGCAGGCTACTTCAGCTGACTGCAGTTCTGCAGTTCAGCTGTTCAAATCTCACCGGCTCAAGGTTGACTCAGCCTTCCATCCTTCCGAGGTGGGTAAAATGAGGACCCAGATTGTTGTTGGNTCCCTTGTTTTATTGTAAGCCGCCCGGAGTCCTTCGGGAGTGGGCGGCATACAAATCAATAAAACTCTAAACTCTAAGATTGGTTTCCCATCTCTGCATAGAATAGAGCTTTTTTTTAATTAGTTTGTATCATTGAATGATATGAGTACTACTCATTACAGTAGGAATTTCCATACTTGGTATTGCAGTTTTAATAATTAGTGCTTACTGTATTGATTTTGGTTAATGATAATTTCTGGTGCATGACTTATAAAGGAAATTAATTACACTAAGCTTGTGTACAGACCTAATAACAAGTCTCTAGCTACAAGCATTTGCTTTTTATGTGGGGAGAATAATGTGACGTGGACTAATGTCCTTACATCAATTCCCTCTGAAAGGCAGTAGAATTCCTGACATTGAGAAGTAAATTATTATCTCAATGATCTGAACAGAATTAAAAGCAGGACATGTTATTAGTAAGCATATTTCATATGTCCAAATAATATATAAACTACGCTAATTGCAAAATTAGTAAGATTTGTGTTTATTTGGTTTTATATAAAAATACACCTTATTTTTGTTTTATAATTTATATCAAATGATATAAGAGAAAAACTTCCTTTTAACTTTCCCATGATACATTCTTTCAGCCCCTAATAACAAATTAAACAAACAAAAAAAAAACTCTCATAAGGAACTGGGTGCAGTGTGTTCATGGGATTGTTGGGGGGGGGGGATTTAAAACAACCAAGATAACAGCTGCAACTAAATAATAAAAATTTTGAGGTGTGTTGCCATCTTGACTTTTTCTATCTCCCCCCCTCCCCCATGTTCTAATGGCGAAGATAAATTATAAAAGCTGCTTCCACAGGACTAGAGGATAAAGGTTTCCTAGGCCCATTTACTAACTCTTACATAGGGCAATTGCATTAAAGCAACTGTTTACTATTAAGATTTTGCCGAATCATTCTCATGAAGCATTCTACCCTAGAAAGAAATCTTAAACGTCACCCTATCAACCCCCCCCCCAAAATGTATGTCCTCTTTTGGTATCTATATGTGTGCAATGGACATGATCTTTCTCGGGATGGAGCGCCCCAGATTGGGGGTCTGAGAGCCCCTTTTATTGAGATAGGACAAAGGCAGGAGGAGNAAATAAATAAATAAATAAATAAATAAATGTTGAACTGCACATTCATAATGTTGATTTCTCCTCAGTCACAAGAACATCTAACATTACAAGTTTGCTAACAGGGGAGATTAGCATCTGCAACAAAAGTGAACTTGGTAACTGTTTTCCCAATGTTGTATAAAAAAATATCAAACAGCCTTCATTTTCTTGGAAATTAGGTCTGATGTGAAATTTAATCTACTAACAGCACAGGAAAGAAAAACACAAAAGCCGATTTCCATGTTTATGATGTCTTTAATACTAATTTACTAAGATGCAAAACAATAACTGAATTCCCATTCATCTGCCGCCAACAAGGTATGAATATTAGCTTCAGACAAAATAAATTTGTTAAATTGTGCACCTTAAAAATAATCACTATTTTAGATGAATATTAATAATGAAAGCAACAATGATTAGAAAATGACTGATAGTTTTTTTAGATCAAAAATAATTCAAGTATTTTGTAAAGTTCCTCAGACATTTGTCTTTGAATTTTAAGTTTGTGCAATACCTATCATTGCATAGTAAAGAAAATCTTGTACAACTCCAGTCCTATGTAATTTATTTTAACATGCACCTAGAATATATTCTTGTTAATTTGCGTAGTGGAGCTTTCCTCTCTGAGAATTGGTTGAATTCAGTGGGATCATGCAGCATATCAATATAAGCAATATAAAATTCCCATACATTTCCTGTCGAGTTGAATCCTATCAATGAAACAAAAATATAACGGTTGAAATGGGTTTTGTTTTTATTGTGTTGAACACCATTACAATGATATTGTGTTAAAAAAAAAAACCTAAATTGAATGTATTCTTTACAAAATATTGTAAATGAATGCTTATAAAATAAGTATAGACCTTAGCAGGTTTGATGATGTAAGGCTAGGACCACTGAAAACGTGACAATTCATTTGTGTGAGCTTTGTGGTTGCGTGGTCATTTATAGTCTATACATAATCTGTGTATTTAAATGCATCTATACAGAACCAAACAGCAGAGGAGAAATTTAGAAAAGAAATTATATTTCTTATGAAATTGTTAGTGTAACAAAAAGTTACCCCAACTCTTTAGCATATGTACACAATTTTGGGACCAGTGTGGTCTGATTTTAAAAAAAAAATCACATCGCACATTACAATGTTTTGTGAATTATGTAAAGATTTTACTGAATATAACAGACTGATCTTCGTAGCCATATTGAATGTGGTTACCACATCTCCCAAAACAAAACCCTCACTTAGCACCTATTTATTTCAATTTCCAATATACTTAAACACAAAGTGGCATTACATAAAATATTCAATAGGGCCGTTTTATATTGGAAAAGGGAGGATTTGAGCACATCACATATAGAATCTATTCCAATTTGCTTTTTCAGGTCAGGAAGAAAAGGTAAAATTCATTGCTGACTTTGGAGAGTATTAACTTTAAATATCAATATAATAGCATTCTAGACTTTTCCCAGTGCTTTTTTCACTCACTGTAGAACAGTAACTTCAATCCATTGCAAGGTTTATGTAAAGACAGCAACCTGCTAAATGGAAGTGCCTAATATTTTGTGGCCAATGATGCATTATATATATAAGCACAATAAGTCACATTAGTAATGGGAGCTGGAGTTTCAGGAAGAGTATTTTTCTTATTTAGGTATGGTAAACAGTTCATAACTCTTTATTTCTTACATTTCCCATTTAAAAAAAAATGAGGAACCATTTTTTTTTTATCTTCACTGAATTTCAACAGCATAATCTCTAATAGTTCTGGGTGTAAATAAATAAGCAAATAAATACAAATCCAGGTGCTACAGTTGGCTCAAGGACCACAGGTTGCCCACCCCTGAGCTAACTCAAACGGAATTTAAAATGATTGTCATGCCAAACCACTATGGTTTCACACAATTGTCAATAAAGCTTGGTGAAAGGCATCCTAAAACATTGGTATAGTATTAAGGGACCCAGGGAAATCAAAAAATAAATCCAAACGTAACTTGAAAAGTATCAGATTTTGCTTCGCTTTGCTTCTTTTTAATGCTAATACACAATGGGTAATATATCTTAAAAAGAATAAACATTTATATAGAGATTGAAATGATTTCTATATGATTAACCAAATTATAAATATCTCATGCCCAAATACCTGTGACTGGGAAAAATGCTTTTAAGCAAGTTGCTTTTTCATTATGCACTTAAAGCTTATTCCAAAGCAGTCTTCCATTGCAATGAATGATCAAGCATTTGGAGTTTTGGATAGGATTGCAGGCTCAGTTTACACTGCTTTGATATCATAGCAACTGTAATAAAGGATAACAATATGTTTGTTATCTTATGGCTGCTTCAATGACCATGAATTGCTTAATTAGCACGGCACACGGGCTTAGAAAAGTCTTAAGTATGACCGCAGCTGCAGCATCAGTGCTAACAAAACTAGAATGGGATGCTGCCTTGTATATTGGCATAATATTAACTTGCGGTTGGCCGGCAGAGATGCATCCATACAAGCAAGCTTTATTTCCACTACACTTTGGGAGTAACTGGAATTTGGCATTAAAAGCTTTTCACATTTGCTAATCGGAGAAGTGATGGAAAGCCGTGATTATGGCAGAGCTTGGATGTTTGGGGAGAAGGGAAGAGGCTAAATTATTGTTTCATGAATGCCACTTCGATGTCTAAGCAGGATTCAATGTTATCTGGTTATGCACATGGCAATATTCTCATTGTTTTTCTCTATTTCAGACCTCCATAACAGTAACCACATGTAGCCTAATAGGAAGGTTCAAAGCTATGCTTTGAAAAATAATTACTACAGAAATAATTTCAAAAAATGCATGGATATCTGGGTGCTATTTATGCACTTTTAAAAAAACCGAATGGAGTCCTGAGGGTGAGGGGAGACTGGGCTTTATAAAACAATACACCGAACGCCTTAACCTGTTGAAAGCTCTCAGTATTTTACAAGTACTTAAGGCTTATTTACGTTTCTTTCCTGTCCTACAATATGAGACTAAGAAAGGAAAACAACATGGCAAAACGAAAAGGATATAAGCTTGGCACTTCTGTGATTAATTTGAGAGGGTGTCAGCTTCTTACAATATATACAAAATATCTGCATGGATGCAAATAATGCATTTGAAGAAGAAATCATTGTATACATATTCATTTACACATATTGGTTTTGGATGGACATTTTTTTCTTTTTTTTGGTTTCAAGCATACATATTTAAAAAGCGTACCTCTTTTATTTGTGGAATTTCCCTGCAAACCTCTTAAAATATAAAGTGCTACCCCGAAATTAAATAGGAGCAACATTTTAAGATCGTGTACAGCTTAAGATTGCGTATGGAACGAAACATTTTAAAAATGTGTAAGGATGGAGTTTGATAAGACTTCCCCCCCAAAGCCTTTTTTAAAAATATATATTTCAATGTAGTATGGTCTGCCATTCCTCAAAGAGGCTTGCCCAAAAGCAATAAATGCACAAAATAAAGAATACCACCTATATTAGGTAGAATTAAGGAGTTATCCTCTCTTTCATAGGTAAAACCTAGAATCAGCTCTTCTGTGTTTCGTTCTGTCACGTTCTTGGTAAATAGTTTTTTATTTGAGGCCCTCTTGGCTAGCTTGTTTGCTGTGTTTATGCCATGCAGTTCACCGTTTCAGAAATTATCATGCCACTGGAGTCTGCCATTAATATTAAAAGATCATGCGAACTCAAAATTATTAAGAAATTCTTTACCTATTTAAATAGTTTGAAAGAGTCTACTTATTGCGCTTGGTTTGCTCCATTTTTGTTTAGAACAAAAAATAGGCGAAAATAGTTCCTTCCCCCGAAGTTCGTTTTGTCCCTAACATCCCCAAAAGAAGAGAGAGATGAGTGGAGGAAGTCCTTGAATTGAAATCTCCAGCAAAGGACAGGTTTTTTTTTTCCCCTTCAGCCCTTTCATGAATGCCTCCGCTTGACAATTCCTGGGATGCTTCTTCTGCAGGAAGAGCCAGCTGCTTCAAAGAGCCTCCATAAGCCAGAGTCCACGTTTACGCACAGCCGCATTCTTCCAGCGAATTCCTTAGATGCCTTGTTGACTTGGATCGTATCTTCTCTTTTTTACATTTCTTCCAATGAAAGAGACGGGGAATAAGAAATAAACCAGTGAGACATATGGAAACCGCATCAATAATCGTCACATTAGAGTATGGGCTCACATCCAGACTTCCCAGATGTAATCTTGAAAAAGTTTTACCTTTAAAAGATTTCAGAGCAGAGTTCTTCCGAGCGATTTTTTAAAAATGAAGGTGATAATTTAATCCTGCGTACCATTTTGCACAGTATCAAGGACACGTCCTTGAGATGAACTCTGCTGAACATATCCAATGGACTGCAATGCATGGTGTGTTTTTTGTGTCAGCCCATAACTGCAATGTGCAACATATACTTTTTGTCTTCATACAGAAACGGCTCTTAAAGCAGAATTGACACCGAGAGGTGTTAATTGCATGACTGGAATTGCATTAGTGTCCATTAGCACAGGAAAAAAACTTTCGGTATAAACATCCACTCTCTTGTCTTATATAAATGTGCTATATAAATAAACAGCCAGGCATGACAAGGCAACACAAAAAAATGGATGCAACTTCCCCATAATCTGGCTTTATGTGGGGCATCAAGCAAGGGATTCATGCATTTAGTCTTAATACTCTGCGTGTGCACTGCTCCACCACCACCTTATCATGCAGTAACACAGTGGTTCCCAAACTTGGCAACTTTAAGACTTGTGGATTTCAACTCTCAGTTGAAGTCCACAAGTCTTAAAGTTGCCAAGTTTGGGAACCACTGTGTTACTGCATGATAAGGTGGTGGTGGAGCAGTGCACACGCAGAGTATTAAGACTAAATGCATGAATCCCTTGCTTGATGCCCCACATAAAGCCAGATTATGG